GGGAGGCTGGGGGAGGGATAGCACTGGGAGAAATACCTAATGTAAATGACAAGTTGATGGGTGCAGCAAGCCAACATGGTACATGTATACCTATTTCACAAACCTGCACATTGTGCACATGTACCCTAGAACTTAAAGTATAAGAAAAAAAGTGTGTAGCACCTCTCCCCTTGCTCTCTGTCTTGCTCCTGCTCCCACCATGTAACACATCTGCTCCCCCTTTGCCTTCTGCCATGAGTCAAAGCTTCCTGAGGCCTCCCCCGAAGCAAATGCCACTGTGCTTTCTGTACAGCCTGCAGAACCATGAACCAAATAAACCTCTTTTCTTTATAAATTACCTAGTCTCAGGTATTTCTTTATAGCCATGTGAGAACAGATTAATACACAAGGGGCAGAGGAAAGAAGTTATTTTGAAGTACTCCAGAGCATTCTATTTGAACAAGCCCTGCCATTAAGGGAAACTGTTTGCCAGAGTCTAACAGACTGAGGTTTTACCAGAGCTTAACTGGGAGAAGGAAATAGCCAACTCCAGCCCCTTCTAGCTTTCCCACCTCATGAAAGGCGTATAGGGGGAGAAAAGCAACTGAGAAGCACTTGTGAAGTTCACAGCCCAGACTCATAGACTTACTGAAATACTGAGACCTTTACAGAACTATAGAAAGCTTCCCCTCCCCGACACCTTACCACCACATCAGTAGGGCTCCTGTAAAACAGGGTAGGCAAAATCATAGACACCCAAGGAAATTTTATCTTCCTACACCTACAGCTACAGCAAACAGTAAACACACCCTAATTCCTAGTCAAATGAGCATACAAATCTCACACTAAAGGCCTATCAGTCTCAGTTCCTTTTACCCAATATATCATGAAATGCTTTCAACAAAAAATTACAAGGCACACTAAAAGACAAAAAACACAATTTGAAGAGACAGAAGAGAAAGCATCAGAACGAGACTCAGATATGACAGGAATGTTGGAATGATTAGACAAGGAATTTAAAACAACTATGAATAATACACTATGGGCCCTAATGGAAAAAGTGGACAGCATGCAAGAACAGATGAGCCATGTAAGCAGAGAGATGGAAACTCCAAAAACCTCCACCTTTTGCCTATAACTACACAGACCCACCAGCAATTAATTAACAATTAATTGTTAATTCTATTTACAGCTATAATTGTCTCACTTTCTCATATCTAATATTGCATACTTTCATTCTATTTCTCACTCTTTCTGTCTTGCTTGTCAGACTTGCCAGAAACTTATCTATTTTCCTGATCTTTGCAAAGAAACAATTCTTGATTCCTTTTCTCAATTGTGCCTACTAGTTGCTTTCTAATTAATTAACTTCTGCTTTTATCTTTATTAATTCCTTTTCTGCTTCATGCTGTTATTTTATTTTTTTTATTCAAGGTTTCTATTTTTATTCAACTATAAGCAAACAGCAGAATTACAACATTCAGCAACTCCAGACCAGCTTTTCTTATCCCCATGAAGAATGATCAATTTAATAGACACAGATTGAAGGATTCCTGATAAGCTGTCAGCTGGCACTGCTATGGGTCTAGATGGTCATGCCCCAACAACAGCAAAGTCACCCTCTCTACTGTTTTTTCCAGGAATGCTCTTTAAAGGGACCAGAACGAGACACTGACACCTATTAAGGCATCTGCGATGTGCCATGTTAGGGTTTAGCCTCAGTGCCAGCCTCTGGTTGTCAAGGTGAATGACAGCACCATAAAAACACACTGTGTACAATTCTGTACTCAGGAGCACAAAGGCAGAGGCAACCAGTTCTTTTTTTTTTTTTAACCTCCAAAAAAGATTCGTTGATGCTTTCCTTTATTACTATAGGCGTGGTCTTTTTCCCCCCAATTTTTCTTTCTTTAAATTCTGGGTTGCTATTTTTTTGTTATTATTATTCTACTTTAAGTTCTGGAGTACATGTGAAGAACGTGCAGGTTTGTTACACAGGTATACATGTGCCATGGTGGTTTGCTGCACCCATCAACCCATCATCTAGATGAGATATTTCTCTTAATGCTACCTCTCCCCCAGCCCTCTATGCCCCAACAGGCCCTGGTGTGTGACGTTTCCCTCCCTGTGTCCATGTGTCCTTGTTGTTCAACTCCCACTTATGAGTGAGAACATGCGGTGTTTAGTTTTCTGTTCTTGTGTTAGTTTTCTGAGAATTATGGTTTCCAGCTTCATCCGTGCCCCTGCAAAGGACATGAACTCATCCTTTTTTATGACTGCATAGTATTCCATGGTGTATATATGCCACATTTTTCTAATCCAGTCTATCATTGATGGGCATTTGGGTTGGTTCCAAGTCTTTGCTATTGTGAACAGCGCCACAATAAACATACGTGTGCAAGTGTCTTTGTAGTAGAATGACATATGAAAAAAATGCTCGTCATCACTGGTCATTAGAGAAATGCAAATCTAAACCACAATGAGATACCATCTCATGCCAGTTAGAATGGCGATCATTAAAAAGCCAGGAAACAACAGATGCTAGAGAGAATGTGGAGAAATAGGAACGCTTTTATGCTGTTGGTGGGAGTGTAAATTAGTTCAACCATTGAGGAAGACAGTGTGGCAATTCCTCAATGATCTAGAACTAAAAATACCATTTGACCCAGCAATCTCATTACTGGGTTGCTATTTTTACATTAACAATTTGATGACCCTACAACAGTCATCCAAAATATCTCCCATATGGAGTTTAAATTTGATCAAAACATAAACCTGACTGAGTGAATGAGTGACTAGAATTATAAAGCACAGGCAGCAGGAAAAGTCACCATAAACTGCCATCTGAATGCTTAGGTCTTGCCTGTGCAAAAGGGAGTGGGAAGAGGAGAAATCTGCACACAACACTGAACTGGGGAACACGACTTGGGACCTCCAGGACAGTTCAGGTCCCTGAGCTGCCCCCTACTTCCTAGACAGCTGTTCCTACAGTTTAGGCATTTAGTAGTCCCACTCAGCCTGGAAACATGTGCTGGCCACCAGGACCTGGAGCTCGTACTTTTTATGGACGGACGCCCCCTTGAATTTGCCACGGTGGTCTCCAGATAGGTTGCTTAAGATGGACTCTTCACACCTCAGCAGCCTGTCCTGCTGGTGAACCAGCCAGACATAGCGGTGGAGGCCTGTGGTCTTGTAAGGCCCCGAACCTAGGTAATTGGAGAGGACTGTGCCACTGTTGATGTCATTATCCTTCATGTTGACCACCAGGATATGATGCCATTCACTGTATTTGGGATCCTTCCCCGTGGGAGCACCCGGGGCTGTCAGGACCAAGGTGCAGGGTTTCTCCAAATCAAGAGCATCCCACAAAATGCTAGTGGGTCTGTTCTTAACCTGGGTGGGCGTCAGCACTTTGCCCAGCTCGTGCACCTCTGCCCCGCCGTAGGTGACATGCAGTGGGTGCTGCAGTTGCTCGTCTACTTTCTGCAGGCTCAAGGGCCAGACCGCTTGCTAAGGTCCACCTGCATGGGGTGGGGACGAGTGGAGCGTGCAGCCGGGAAGTGCCACTGTAGGCATAGGCCAGGCGCAGGCGGCAGCGGCGACTCAGAGACCTCAGCCTGGTTTTATTTTATAGTTATCTTTTTAATCCCATGAAAGTAGTTATTGTTCATTTATTTTCATTATTTTTTACTGGTTAATAAAGCCATTTAGATCCTGAGTCCAGTGTAACTGCCACTGTAGTGAAGAGGTGGCCTCATAGGAGCTGGGACTGGCAGGGGAAGAATGACCAATCCCTGTACAGTAGTGGAGTAGAAGGGTAGAATAAGAAGGGTAGAATGAGCCTTCTGTTTTCCTGGCCATAGATATTCCTTTACTGTATCTATTTTAACGGTGGAAAATAGTTCATCATGGGGATGTATTACAGTTTGTGACCACAATCTCCAAATATTGAACATTTGGGTTCATTCGAAGGTCAGTTTATGAAATATCTATTGGGCACCAGGCCTTGCATGAGGGGCTGGGAATATGATAATGAGCAACGGACATATATTCTGTTCTTAGAATATTTTACTGATGAAAATGATGCAACAGATAAGTCTTAGCAACATCTATTACTGCATCTTTAGAATAAATTCCTAGAATTAGCCTTGTTAGGTCAAAAGGTGTGCACATTTTTGCAGCTTTGTTGCATCCAATCAGCCACTCTTCACATATTAGAGTCATTAGTACTGAATACTGCCCACCTTCTGAATGATCACTATTATATTTAAAAATATTATTTGCCAGTTTAAGTGTAAAATTATGTCACACATTTGTTTTTGTTTTCATTTATGGCCAGTATTTGTTGTCCATTCTATAGTATGTGAACCACTCACCCATGTCCTCTGATCATTGCTATATTATTAGTGTTTTGTCTTTTATATTTTGGCTTTTATCGTATACATAGGAAGAACATCATATATATGTCTTTCTCTGATAATTGTGTTGCTAACATGAAATCCGTATCTTTGTACTTTGCCTTTAATTTAGTTTATGACACTTTATGACATATAAATATTTTAAACTTTAAGTGGTTGAGTCTGTAAATTCTATATTGATTTTGCTTTTGTAGTGATGTATAGAAGGGGTTCTATATCCTAGTGATTAGACAAAGGTTTCCATTTTCCTCATGCTATTTTTATTCTTCCATGCAAGGCTAGGGCCTTTTCAAGGGGCCTTGTCCAAAAGTGGGAGCAGAATACTCATTTGATAAATTTATCAAGTGCCCCTCTGTGCTGGGGAGATGCAATCCTTAGCTTTCCTGATGACAAGCCTAGAAGAGCTGGTCTGACCTTTGCCTGGTGTTCCTCAGAGGTGGGGGTTGCTGCTGGGGAAGGAAGGAAAGCCATGACATGTGACAGGGTTCATTTGTAATCTGGCTTATTTCTAGGCATTTTGGGTTATGCAAATTAGGTGAATCTTTGGTTTCAAGACCCTTGTGGATGCTGCTGAGAAATAACAAAGACTTTAGTCCAGAAACTCACTGGAAGTGGAGTTTGAGGGTAGTCAACTCTGCTCAGTAGCTTTTCAAGGTTGGAGGGTGGGCTTCTTCAGGCTGGAGTCAAAAGTGGTAATCCTGGTTGATTTCTCTGCGGGCTGGAATTTACACACACCTGGGAACACAATACCAACTCTAAAAGTGAAACCTTGGCCCTCTGCCATTTGCTGCTGACCTTGCAAGACATAACAACAGCTAGATGTTATGGGTTGAAGTGTGTCCTCTCCCCCATTCAAATGTTGAAGTTCTAACCCCTAGAACCTCAGATTTTGACCTTATTTGTAAATAGAGTTATTACATAATTAGTTAAAATGAGATCATACTGGGGTAGGATGAGCTCACAATAAAATGTGACTGGCATCCTTATGCAAAGAATGCCAATCCTGCCGGGTGCGGTGGCTCACGCCTGTAATCCCAGCACTTTGGGAGGCCAAGGCGGGGCGGATCACGAGGTCAGGAGATCGAGACCATCCTGGCTAACATGGTGAAACCCCGTCTCTACTAAAAATACAAAAAAGTTAGCCGGGCGTGGTGGTGGGCGCCTGTAGTCCCAGCTACTCGGGAGGCTGAGGCAGGAGAATGGCATGAACCTGGGAGGCAGAGCTTGCGGTGAGCCGAGATTGCGCCACTGCACTCCAGCCTGGGTGACAGAGCGAGACTCTGTCTCAAGAAAAAAAAGAAAAAAAAGAATGCCAATCCTGCTGACACCTTAATCTTGAACTTCAGCCTTGAAAACCAGGAGACAATATATTTCTCTTCTTTAAGGGAGTGGTGCTTTGTCATGGCAGCTCTAGTGAACTGATACACTAGGGCTTATATGACACTTCATGCCAGATACTGTCCCAAGTCTTGTAGAGTGTTAAGCCATTATATCCCCTCCACAGTTTTATTGGGTAGGAGCTATGAATGCCCCCACTTTGAACTTGAGAAGACTGGAATATAGACATGTTTAGTAATTTGGCCAAGATCTATCTCAAAGCTAGTAAGTGGCAGAGCCACAACCCCCATGTCTGGTTCCAGAGCCACCAAACTGTTCCCTTTGCGCATTTGAGAATGTGGTAAGAATCCATCTTGGAGAGTCTTAGAGAATCCTGCTGTTCTTAACATAATTTAACCCCAATCTAGCTAAATTCTGTTTTCCCTGATGTACTTTGTAAATTTTGATTAGATTCATAGAGAGTTTTTATTTCTCAAAACATGATAGATAAATACTGATATACAATATAATACCACTTAAATATTTTTCACTTATGTATAAGGCTTATCTGTGCATTTAAAACAAAGTTGTGGGATATTTTGTGGACCAAACTTGAAATGCTGGTTATGGTGAAACCGGAGATGGGGATGGGAAGGAAGCCTGGGGGACTGTGTGTGATGAAGGGACCCTCTCCTTTATAGAGATACATCACACACACACACACACACACACACACACACACACACACACACAAAATTGTGGTAAAAAAAAAAATACCTAGCACAAAAGGTACCATCTTAATAACTTTTAAGTGTATAGTTCCGAGGTGTCACATCTATTCACATTGTTGTGAAACAGATCTCTCTGGAGCTTTTTCAAGTTGCAAGTCTATGCCCATTAAACAGCAACTCCCCTTCTCTCCTTCCCTTCTTCCCTTGGTCACCACCATTCTACTTTCTGTTGCTATGAATCCGGCTACTTTAGACAGCCCTCAAAGCAGAATCATACAGTACAGATACTCCTCGACCTACATTGGAATTATGTTGATAAACCTGTGGTTAGTCAAAAATACATTTAATATACCTAATCTATCAAACATCACGGCTTGGGCTAGCCTATCTTAAACATGCTCAGAACACTTACATTAGCCCACAGTTGGGCAAAATTAACTGGCAAGGGTGGAAACTGTGGCTCGTAGCTACTGCCCAGCGTTGAAAGAGACCATGGTACTGAATAGCCTTAGCCTGGGAAAAGATCCAAACCTAAAATTAAAATATGGTTTTTACTAAATGGATATTGCTTTTGCACCATTGTAAAGTGGAAAAATTGTAAGTCAAACCATCACAAGTCAGTGATGATCTGTACTTATCTTTTTTCTGACAGGCTTGTTTCACTTAGCATAATGTCCTCAAAGTTCACTTATGTTGTTGCACAAAACAAAATTTTCTTCCTCTTTAAGGCTAAATAATATTCCCTTGTATGCACATACCACATTTTGTTTATTTATTCATCCATAAAGGGACATTTGTGTTGCTTTCACCTATCAGCTGTTGTGAATAATGCTGCTATGAACATGGGTGTGCAAATATCTCTTTGAGGGACTGCTTCCAATTCATTTGGGCATTTACACAGAAGTGGAATTGCTGGATCATATGATAATTCCATTTTTAATTTTTTGAAGAACTGCCCTATTGTTGGGGTCCTCTCTTCTATTCCATTGGTCTATTTGTCTGTTTTTATACTGATAACACACAGTTTTGATTACTGTAGCTTTGCAGTATGTTTTAACATCAGGAATATCAGGGCTTGTGAGTTCATCTTTGTTCTTCTTTTAAAATATTTTTCAGCTATCTGGAATCTCTTGAGATTTCACATTAATTTTAGAATAACTTTTTCTATTTCTGCAAACAATGCCATTGGGATTTTTATAAGGGTTGCATTGAATCTGTAGATCACTTTGGGTAGTACAGACATCTTAACAATATTGTCTTCCAACTTAAGAACACAAAATATCTTTCTATTTATTTAGTCTTCCTTAATTTCTTCCAGCAATATTTTACTGTTTTTAGTGTACAAGTCTTTCTCATCTTTAGAGTAGATTTGTTACTAAATATGTTATTCTTTCTATGCTATTTTAAATAGGATTGTTTTTTAATTTCCTTTTTCAGATTGTTCACTGTTGCTGTAAAGAAATGCAAGATTTTTGTTTGCTGATTTTAAATCCTGCAACCTTGCTGAATTTGTCTATTAATTCTAATAGTTTTTCTGTGTGTGAAAGCTTCTGGGTTTTCTACATAAAAAAAAATCATGTCATCTGTGAGCAGAGATAATTTTATTTCTTCCTTTTCAATTGAATGCCCTTTATATATTTTTACTATTCAATTGCTCTAGCTAAGACTTCCAATGCCATATTTAATAGAAGTGGTGAGAGGGGAGATCTTTGCCTCATTCCTGATCTTAGAGGGAAAGCTTTCCGTTTTTCACTGTTGAGTATGATGTTAGCTGTGGGCTTGTATTAACTGCCTTTAGTATGTTGAGGTGGTTTACTTCTATTCCTATATTGTGCAGTGTTTTTATCACCAAGGGACGTTGACTCTTGTTAAATGCTGTTTCTGCAACAGTTGAAATGATCATGTGACTTTTGTTCTTCATTCTGTTAATGTGTTATAACTTTGATTCATTTTCATAAGTTAAATCATCCTTACATTCTAGGAATAAAACCCACTTTATTTAGGTCATGGTGTATAATCTTAATGTGCTTTGAATACTGTTTGCTGGTATTTTGTTGAGGATTTTGGCATCTACATTCATCAAGGACATTGGTCTGCAGTTTTCTTTTCTCGTAGTGTCTTTCCCTGGATTTGGTATCAGGGTTATGCTGATCTATAAAATAACCTAAGTATTCCCTCCTCTTTAATTTTTTGGAATAGTTTCAGGAGGATTGGTGTTAGTTATTTTTAAATATTTGGTAGAATTCTCCATTGAAGACATCTGGTCCTGGACTTTTCTTTGTTGGAAGGTATTTGATTACTGACTCAATTTCCTTACTTGCTATTGGTCTGTTCAGACTTTTCGTTTCTTCATGGTTCAGGCTTGGTAGGTTGTGTGTTTCTAGGAATGTGTCCATTTCTTTAGGTTATCAAGTTTGTGGAAATATAATTGTTCTTAGTATCTGGTTTCATTGATTTTATTTCTATTCTCTATTATAATCATTTCTGCTATAATCTTTATTTCCTTTCTTCTCCTAACTTTAGCTTTAGTTTGTTCTTTTTCTGCTTTCTTGAGATATAAAGTTAGGTTGTTTATTTGAGATATTTCTTCTTTTTAATATAAGGCATTTATTGCTATCAACTTCCCTCTTAGCACCGCTATTGCCAGAGCCCAGAAGTTTTGGTATGTTGTGTTTTCATTTTCACTTGTCCCAAGGTATTTTTTAATTTCCACTGTGATCTCTTCTTTGACCTATCGGCTGTTCAAGAGTATGTTAATTTATTTACACATATTTGTGGAGTTTCCAATTTTCCTTGTTCTATTGATTTCTAGTTTCATCTCATTGTGATCAAAACCTTTTTGAATTTGTTAAGAGTAATTTTGTGACCTCATATGTTGTCTTTCCTGGAAAATGTTCCCTGTGCACTTGAGAAGATTGTATACTCTGCTGTTGTTGGGTGGAATGTTCTGTGTATGTCTGTTAGGTCCAATTGGTGTAAATGTTTCAGTCTTCTCATTATTGATCTTCTGCTTAGTTATTCTATCCATTATTGATATTCTGCTTAGTTATTCTATCCATTATTGAATGTGAGGTATGGAAGTCTCCTACTATTATTGTGTTTCTATCTATCTCCCTTCAGTTCTGTTAGTTTGCTTTATATGTTTAGGACTTCTGTGGTTTGGTACACAAATATTTTTTGTCATTATATATTTTTGGTAAATTGACCCTTTTACCATTATACAATGTCTTTCTTTGTCTCCTGTAACAGTTTTTGATTTAAAGTGTCTTTTGCCAGATATTGTGTAGGAATTCCTGTTGCCTTTTGATTACCACTTGTATGAAATATTTTTTCTATCCTTTCACTTTTAGGCTATTGTATTTTCAGATCTTGTATGTATTTTCTTGTAGACAGCATATAATTGGATCCTGTTTTTGAATCCATTTAGAAAATCTTTTTTTTTTTTTTTTTTTTTTTTTTTTTTTTTGAGACAGGATCTTGATCTGTTGCCCAGGCTGGAGTGCAGTGGTAAGACCGTGGCTCACTGCAGCCTGAATCTCCCAGGTTCAAGCAACCCTCACACTTCCGCCTCCCCAGTAGCTGTGACTACAAGTGTGCACCACCACACCTGACTAATTATTAAAAATTTTTAGAGAGATGGGGGCCTCACTATATTGCCAGGACTGGTCTCAAACTCCTGGGCTCAACTCCCCAGTAGCTGTGACTACAAGTGTGTGCCACCACACCTGGCTAATTTTTTAAAATTTTTATAGTGATGGGGGGGGTCTCACTATGTTGCCAGGGTTGGTCTCAAACTCCTGGGCTCAAGCAATCCTCCTGCCTTGGCCTCCCTAAGTGCTGACACTACAGGCATGAGCTACTGCGCCCAGCCCAATCTGTATCTTTTGCTTGTGGAGTTTGTTTACATTTAAAATAATT